CAAGAAAAAACAAGAAAAAACAAGACTCTTTTGTCCTCCATCCATATTTTCAGTTACAGGCTGAGTCATTTCTACCTTCTCCTCTCTGTCAACGCTCTCTGGTTTCATTTAAAAGAGCCAATCATCAGATATTGTCCAAGATTAACCTTCAGGGTGGATATAGCTCGCTAGCAGCCTCTCACCGAGGACCTATCCATGTCATCATATGGCCCCGTCCGTGTAATATATTTTTAAACTTTAAACTTTTAGTTTAAAAATGATAAAAACTGAACATCCTACAGTATTTTTACAGTCTTTATTTTACAATTAAAATATATGTTTATCAAATAAAGTCTAATGTTACAACTAATCAGGGATCCCTTTAATAGTCTTGTGCTACATCCTAATATTTTAATCCTGAGCCAGTAATGCTGACTTTTTGGTTCAGTGGCTGCAGGGAGAGGAGCTTCCTGAGAATAAACTCACAAACACGACGATGAGGAATGAAAAAAAMCAGCAGGATACTCACTGCCTGGAGACTCTGGTGACGCTGGTTGGGACTGTAGGGGCTGAATTTAGGCTTGGCTGGTTTACCTGCTGCTCTGTCCTTGTGTCTCCTGCTGCTAATGTGCTGGAGCAGAAGATAAAAACACACAAACACAGGAAATCACATTAAGACGAATGCTGGCAGCAGCAGGTTAATTTGCTTAAAAATGTAATAATTTGTCAAGATGAAATCAAAGGGGCTTAATCAAAGCACTTATTCTGAAAATTAACTAGAATAAAACCGCTCAGAATTTGTTTGCTCTGACTTGTTGATTCAAAATATTCATGAGAGGCTGGTTTGGAAATGTTTTTGACTTGACTGACCAGCACAAACAGATGGCTGACGGTCAGCAAAGCGTACAATCAGCAGCGAACAGCTAAAATATTCATGAGCACCTGGACAAAAGCAAACTTTTAAACAGTTAGGTGTAAGAACTAACGGTATGCATTCGCGTCACGAACACGAGAGGGCAACAGTAGATTCAAACACTCGCTGGAACCCGAAGCGGCTTTGAGCTCATTACTACCTCACCTGCATCGACAGGTGTTAGATGTTCACACTGCGGCGTGGAATAAAATATGCACGGTGCTAMTTTTCCTGCCTGTAATGCATGATGGAGACAGTGATGATGGTCGTGTTGGATTGTTGAACGATGAGAATGGCAAATCTGTGTGATGGCTGACCTTTTTATGGTTTCAAAGAACATGAACAAGAAGTCTAATGAGCCAACTCTGACCCCTCATTTTCTTAAAATTAAGCGCCCACCTACATTCATTGAGTTTTAAACTAGGATCTTATCTTAAAAGATGAAAAGGCTGTAAGAATAATGGTAATTCTTTTGAAAATAGCATCATGAGTGATAGCATCTCAGCTACTACCACACAACGTTTTTGTTTAATATTTGTTCCAGGGTTGATAAACTGTGGCGGCCATCTTGGACTGGTTCCTATGAACCCACCTGTTTGAGTTGAGTCTCAGAGTTCACGTGCACATCGCAGATTTCACAGTGGAAAGTTTTGTTCTGGAGCCCCGTTGATGACTCCACTGGAGCGGCCATCTTGGATTTGACCCCTATCCTCGGGAACGACTTGATGGCTCCATCGCCGCTCCTGGCTTCAAGCATGGTTTTGTGCTTCGTACCTGAACACACGTTAAAGTTCATGAAAGGAGAATCAATCACAGCACATCAAGGGTTGATCACACAGTGACTGTTTCTTACCACTGTTGTGAGCCTGAAGCTGTGAGGCCGAGTTGACYGCCACCTTACAGAGGGAACAATAGAGGAGACGTTTTGCTTTTTCTTCCTCCGTCTCTTCCTCGGGAGCCTCTTCTTCTGCTTCCTTCGGGGGCTCTTTTTCTGTTGGTTTTGGACTGGGCGGCAGGGAGTGGTTAGAAGCCTCTTTTRGTGTTGCACAAAGACCACTCTGTGACCATGCTGTGTCAGAGGATGGGGTTGGGGCTAAGGGTTGRAAAAAACAGGCAAAATTAAACAGAAAAGCATGTTACACAAAGATAAGAAAAAAGACAGAGAGAAACAGAATTCCCCMTGTATTTTCATTGTTTATACAATAGTTCATTCTGAATTCTTCAAGAAAAAACAAACTCTTCAGCAGTGAATATGGATATAATGTATAAACATACATTTCTAACCCTCTACTAAAGCTAAATGTCCACAACCTCATGATGTCAATCCTAAAAATCCTGTTTTCAGACTTAAAGATGCTAACTTTAACCATCCATTTATTCATTATCTATACCCGCTTTTTGCTGTCAGGGTCACGGGGGTCACTGGTGTCCATATCCAGCAGTCACAGTGCGAGGGGCGGGGTGCTAACGTTAACCATTTAACCGTTGTAGTCTGCAACTAAGTAATTGCTCAGGTCAGATGATTAGGAAGGGTAACATCACTTTCTTCACTATCTCCTTCCAGCTCTTCCCAAATCTTGACCTGTTTCCAGGCCAATAAGGCAAGTTCTGRGTCTCTTAGCAGGATGTGACTGAAAAACCCAACCAGGACATATCCTCAGATGCCTGAGCCACATTCTGATGCAGAGGAGCTGGAATGGAGCGTGGATGGTATGGCATCACAATTCTGACAAAAACCAGAGAACCGTATTTATCAATCACAGCAGCATGTTTTATAATGGAGAGAGTGCAAAGCTCTGGTGTACATTTCTGCGTGGGCTCTTGAACGTATGGTGAGCAATAAAAACAYGCCCGGTCCACCCATCTGAACACTTTCTCATGCCAAATGTTACACTCGCTTTGTTTAGTGGGTGTATTTGTCAGGGAGCGGTAACTCTTATCTGATTGATTAACACACTCCCTGGGTTTTCAGCAGCATCAGAAGCTCAAGGCTGAACCCAAACACCCTGTGGGGTTATTTCATTCCCTTTACTTATGAGACACAATTCATGTCTATAGGTGAGGGTTGGAATGTAGGTGGACTAGAAAATCAAGAGATTAGTCTTTAGGATCAGCTTCTTTATTTACTACAATAGATGAGAGGAACACCCTGATTGTCCATCTCTAACTCATAAACACAACATCGAGATGGTTAAACTTTTCTACTCATCAACAAACCTTGGGGGAGTGTTTCATCTTTTTACCAGTTGCTGGTGGAAATCACTGTACAGTTAAACCAACATGACCATCATCTGGAAACACGATGTTATCCTTCTACATTGACTTTACAAAAAAAAAGTTTAATGAAAGTTATAGAGATGTCTGCCGTTATTTAATAAAATTCATGTTGGTCCATCACTTTGAGGTATTTTCCTCGTCTTAAAGACCCACCAGTCTTATCACCTTTTCCCAGCAAAAGATAATAACTCACCAGGCTAGAGGTGATTATGAGTGCTATCAACTTCTTTAATCGCACCAATAATCAATGGTTTCCCCTCGGATCCGTCTGCAAGCACTTTATTTGACAGTTCTGTACGGACGGTTTGGTTCTCTTATCTTTTCTGAGGCTAACGTGCTCCCAGAGGGCCACGCTCTGATTTCAGGATCCACTCTCTGTTAATAACAGTGATTAGCTCTCCCTTGGCTGAGTGAGTGTCTGTTCRTCTCCACTGATTCCCCGCCGTCTCAGTCGACTGATCTTCGGAAAGCTCTCATCAATTTCTCTTGAAACACCCTCTAAATGGAGAAATGATCATTCATTTTTTCATTATTATTTTTTCTCCCTCTAACATAAGCAAACTATCTAACCGGTGAGGTCAAGTGTTTTTTCTATAGTCATTATTCTTTAGTTGGAGTGAAAYATTATTTTTGCTCATTAGCACCCACGCACGAGCAAAAGTAGCACATCGGTGTGGGCAAAAATATACACACCCTGGAAATCAGTTAATGCTTTGACACACCTCCACACTGATGCTGACATGCCTCCAGACCCACACACACACACACACACACACACACAGAGAGAGAGAGAGAGAGAGAGAAATACAGGGACACTGTACAGCTGCCCACAGATCACATTCAAAGCCGTTTTCATTGGGCTTTTGATCTCTGGAGGCCACTGAACGAGGTCAGAAAATGTAGACATGGAGACAAAGCAGAGGATAATGCTCAACCTTTAATCTCCTCACTGTGCAACCCAAAGCAGCCGGGGGTGGGGGGCGGGGGGTGGGTATCACATCAAAGAGTTAAAGTTGTGACTGAGAAAAAGGAGGTTCAAACTGTACGTTCAAATATCTAACTCTGTCATATACTGTATTTGAAGTCCTCTCTCTCTCTCTCTCTCTCTCTCTCACTCACACACACACACACACACACACACACTAGGACAGTCAAGAAGCATGTGGAAGCAGGTGCGGGTTTTTTTTCAGAGAAACACACCGTCTGATGTTGTGTCAGAGCTGGAGGCCTGGGAGCAGGGTGACGGGAGGATTTGCGATGTGGTTTTCCTGATGACTGCTTCAGAGGTCTTGATCTTTGAATCTGGGGCATCCAGAGCTTTGAGCCTCTTCGTGTGCCTCGTGCCACTGTAATGGGAAGAAGCCTGAGCCTGCGTGTCCACCAACAAACAAACAAAATAAAACAAGATGAGCCAATTGCACACAAATATAAAAAGATGACAATAATTGCAGCTCCAATACACAACATGAAAGTTAACACTGAGGCTCAGGTGGGTAAAAACTTGATCCAAGCCAAGGGCCAGTCTTGATCAATATTTACTGAAAGTTAATATGAATAAGAATAATTTTAAATGTAGTATCATAAATTATGCTCATGAAAACACAAAAGAATTTAAATTAAACATAACAGATAAAGAATAAAGATCCAACTTATAACTTTCTATTAACTTTTAATTAAATATTTCTTAGACATGATTTTAAAACAGCAAACCCTCACTGAACAACAAATCATTTGAAATAAGGAGAGAATATAGAAAAAGATAAAGCCCACTCTGTTGCTCAGACGCACATTTTAATCAAGTTAGCTGTCCAACATCTGTTCTTGGCCGCAAAGTCATCAACAGGAGTTTAATCTTCTGATGTTTTCTGTTGCTTTTCCCAAAATAATTGCTTAACAAAAATTTTCAACTTATTTTTCGCGACTTTAAAGTTGGCCAGCTCTCACAAGAAGACTGAATTAAGTATAAGCTCAGTATTTAAAGTAATAAGAGAAGCAACAAAACATTACCACACATTTAAAAAAATCTCCTTTGAGGCCAGATTAAATGTTAAGGARGGCCAGAGTTGGCCCACGGGCCTTGAGTTTGACACGTGTGACAAATGAATTACAAACTGTTCTTTTAAAGTAATTATGTTGGAATATTATGGTCAATTAACATCAGAACTGTAACAGTACACCTAAGTAATGGTTTGGTATGTACTTTGGTATGAAGATCATGGTTGAGTGTAGATTTGGAATAATAACAAAGAGACAAATGCTATATTTTAATGTATTTAGGCAGATTGTCTCCCAGAAAGGCCCCCATGTTAGTGGGGTCAAAGGTCTATAAAACAGATCAATAACAGATAGTTCAAGGGTTAAAAATTGGATTACAGTACTGACATTGTGATGCAACATAATTGTTTCAAATCTTTTCACAGAAGGTTGCACCACACCTTCAAATCACTGAGCCATCCCTTTAAAAGACACTAAAATCACCCTCACAACAAAGCTTGCAAATCTTCGTTTTAGTTGTAAACAGCAGTAAACCAAATTTGCGTTGACGTTTTTGCTGTTCAAATGTTTATTTTCTGACAACAATCCATTAAATGCATCACTTTCTTGAAATGAAAGTGTTGCGCTTTCTGACTGGCGTAAGATCAGTGCGCCTTTTAACCAGTTATTACACAAGATCCCATCCCAACCAGGCGAGAAGCCAGACAGAGGGCAGGTCCTCTCAGCCATTCAACTGTCACTTCAGGGTGTGTGAGAAACAAAAGGAACCATGAAAGAGAAGCAATTGCAAGTGTATTTCTTCTCATGCACACACACACACACCTCAGAGTTGAATCTCACTCGACAGACTCCACAAGAGCTGCTTTTCTTCTTTAGGGGTAAAGCTAACCCGTAACCTGGACCAATCAAGGCTTTGTGGATGTGATCCATCTAAAACAGGAGGGGAAATGGAAAAAATTAACATTAAGAGAGTTGAAAACATTTGCAAACATTCTGAGATATTTTGGAAACTGCCTTACGAATCTTTTTTGTAATTTGTTGCCAAAAGTCGCAGTGAGACTCAGGTTTTACTCCTTTATCGTAATGTAATTTTAAGACTGGAGGTAATGATAGACAATTTTAAACAAATTGTATAAAGATGTTCAGATACTCTTTCTCTTGTTTTTTTTACTGGAGTCCGTTTGGACCACCATGAAGCCAAGCTGACCACAGTCTGTGTTCTCCAATAAACAAACAACAAAACTTTTACAGTCACTTTAAAAACCTGCAGGGGTATTTTACCCGGACATGTTCCAGCAACCAGACTGACCCTGAGCAGCTCTCTCTGCCAAAAAAGTAAGGAATTGATGCATCTTAGTATTTCTGGAAGCTATAACGAGTACATATAAGTATAATAAAACCTAAAGTGGAACATTACTTAAAAATAATATATATATATAGGGAACCATGAAAGCAGTAAAAGCAGGCTGAGAGGGAGGCCGGCAGTTACATAAAAATGCCAATTATTTTGGGTCAGCCAGCTTGTTTTAAAAGTGCTGGAAACATATAAGCACTGTTCTGGAGGTTTTACAAGTGCCAAAGATGAATTCCTGACCCAACATAAAAAACAGAAACTATGGGAATTTTATCTTTGATGACTCTGGGCAGCTTCACTGGAATGCATCTCTGCTCTCACCAGGTCTCGTATCGTTTTGTTTCTGTCATTGTATTAAAGTAAAAAAATAAATAAAAACACCATGAAAACTATTTTATTTCTTTAACAAAAAACTAGAATGTCTTGTTGAGGTTTTATGCTTAACTGGATGAGATTTCACATCACACCTTCATCCCTCCTCTGCCTCGGGGCTCCTTTGTCGATGTTTGACCTTCTCGCTCCATCTGCTAACCTCCAAACTCTCTGCTGCTTCTCCATCTGATCAAAGTCGCCTTCCTGTCCTCCCCTCAGACTCACTTTCTTCCCCTTGACGCACTCCTTAGCCTTCAAACACCTGTAGCAAAGTCAGCTTGCCCTTTTCTACTTATTGCCTTTTTTCTATTGCGCACACACTGATATCACACTCGGAAACAAATCTTCTGAATGAATCAAGCACCAAAAAAGATTWAAAAAAATGCAGCATCAATTATAATCAGAGCAAACTCTGGAAAAGACTCAGGTATAGCAGCACGTCAGACACGCCGAGCCCCATGGAGTTATGACTGAAACATATGTCCAAGTGAAATAAAGCAGACTTTTACCTGGCTCACAATCAGCCTTCTACATTTATGATGATGAATAATCCTCTTTTACTTTGTGCATCAACACCTGACGTCAAGAAGAAAAAAAGTGAGACATAAGCCACTGTTTTGTCATTTCAATGACCAGTTTTGGTGGAATCTGCCAGAAATGTTCCCGTTCCCCATTAGAAAAACTAGAAGCCAAAGCAGTCGGTGAAGTTTAAGGAACCGGATCAGAGAAAACATTTGCACGCATGCAGTCCGGTAACTATGCCAACGCACATGTGGGCACCAAACAYACTCCTGTTTGGCGCTTTACGGGAGCCAGTACACATTTCAGGGGCTTATTAAGACGCACRAGGGAAAAAAAACGTACACACATTTCACTGTCAGAGTTCAGCTTTCTGCACACCCACAGATTTATTACAGAAGCGTTTCGAACAAAAATGCCTCCTGGTAATTTTATTTATTTTTTATATATATAAATATTTTCTCATCAAATGCAAAAATCTGTTACAGATTTTACTGATGTATTTTATTAAAACATTAACATCAAAGCTAAAAGATTTAGTTGAGCGATATGTAAAAATGTTTGTCCTTTAAAAAAACAATTTATGAGAGTAAACTATAAATTTAGGAGTTTGATTATTTGAAACTTTTTGCTAAAAGTTATATCGACTAAATTAGTTGAATGACAGCATAATGAATGACAATTAAAAAGCTACCATTAAGGTGTTTAGTCGATGCTTTCCAACTCCTCCGTATTGAAAAAAAGGTAATATAGTAGTGATACGTATGTAGTAGTAAGTCTCTAAAATGACACCCACAAACCAAAACACTGCAGTAACTTTTTACTGGTCTGATAATACTCCTGCTGCTGCAGACTGGAGGAGGTGCTGGAGATGGAATATAATTAAATAAGTGGGAGTCTGAGTGTGAGTGTTAGAAGAGGGAGATGCGATTTCTTTTTTTTTCTTCTTTTTTTAAGAAATACCGAGTTCATCCAGAGGGAGAAGGCGTCGAGAAGGTGAGAACAAGCCAACATTCTGAAAAATAATATTTTGATTTCAGTCTGTTGTGCAAAAATAAAAAAGGAAGAAGAAGAGAAAAATAAAGCAGGACTGAAAAAAAGGTCAGCAGAGAAAATGTCAGCGAGAGGACGAGCTAAAAAAAAGCGAGAAAAGGCACATGAGCGGACGTGGAATGAGACGGATGACAGGAGGAGACAAAGTGGAAAACCTGTAGGGCCAAARAGTGCAGCAGAGAAAGTGAAAAGGTGATGGGGGGGTGGGGGGACAGTTGGAGATGAGAGGAAACTGAAGTGAAACACGGAGAAAGAGCCTTAGAAGTGGATAGGTGTGTTTTTCAAGGCATGGTGCGCTTTTTGAGAAAGCTGCTGATGTGAATACAGCGTCTATAAATGTATAAAAAACACCCTGCAACAGAGTAAAACATGCAGGTCTGAACAAATCAGGTTAGAAATAAAAGAGTAAACAGCAGAWAGGAGCAAAGGAGATGTGACTGGTCAAATATTCTGGTTTTATACACTTCTTAATCAGTTTTTTCTTCATGTAAACATTTAACTTTTATTCCTCCATGTCTTAACAGCATACTGACCGAGTTTAAAGCCGATAAGTCAAAATCCCTAGGAGGAGTTCGCAAAAATTCGACGTGAGCGAAAATGAAAATCGGCCAAAATTTGACCTTGACCCAAAACGGCCGACTTCCTGTTTGTTTTAGGGCATACCTCCAAGAGACTTTTTTTCTTGATTTGGGGAGATCTACCTATGTCTCGAATTTCAGCTCTCTAGGACTTACCAGTTCCTCTATCTCACGTTAGGTGGCGCTGTCGAGTCATTTGGCCACTCCCATTAAAAGTTCCAATAGAATCATGCGATTCTGTTAATGCAGTGATGCTCTAAGCTAGAGATCATCAATTCTGGTCCTCGAAGTCCACAGCCCTGCATGTTTTACTTGTTTCTCTGCTCCAACACACCTGATTTGAATGGACAGATGATTAGCAGGCTTCTGCAGAACTTGGAAAAGGTAGTTCACTGACTGAATCAGGTGTGTTAGAGACGGGAAAAAAGTAAAATATGCAGGGCTGCGGACCTCGAGGACCGGAATTGATGATCTTTAGCTTACAGCATCCCTGCACTTTTTTGGACTTTTATTGGAACTCTGGGACGTAGCTGTGTTGGTTTCATCTGTTAAAGAGGACTTGCAAAATCCAAAGTTTCTGCACGGCTATATAGTCATAAACCCCTCTATCAAGGTATGGACCACTCTGGGAGCAGGGGGATGGCGCGGTGTGAAGCATTGTGTGGATTTAAAGAGGCAGCATAGAAACGAGTTGAAACACGCCTCAGAGAAGGGRTGAAAGAGGGGCTTGTGGAGTTACAAGGAAGAATTCAGACCGAAGCATAGCAGCTCCACTTTATATAGACTCTAATGAATGATTTAAATGTGAAAAAGAAGYRGTTAAACGCAGGATATGTCTCCTTTAAAACATGCGTTGTTTTTTTTCCAGAAGCTCAGCTCTCCTCTGGGCCAGGACTTGGCCCACATTAGCTCCCCTCCAACCTTCACCCATCACAAACATCGAGTCAGACAGCTCTAAGAAAGGCTCTGCGTGAGGAATACCAAGGAATTGGCTCTACTTCCCCCCCACCCACCATCCCCCCCAGGTTGTGTGGAAATGTCACCGCACTCTGCATCACAGGTGATATATTTGGAAAGATGTAGGCAGCGCGCGCGTACAAACAGCTCAGTGTTGAACATTTTCTTCCACACAGGCAAATTTAGTTTGTGAATTTTTACTTTTCTGGCTGTAGCAACAGAAAAAAAACCTGCTGTGATAAAGTGAACAATTTGAGTTTTGATTCATGATGTTGCCATGGCAGCCGCGGATACTCACGTCGGTGAATCCGGGGAGCAGATGGAAGGGGAGGAGGCCCTTGGGGTCGGGGGAGGCCAGGGTCCTGCCCAGCGGGGGACGAGCCAGMGGCGGCAGGGGACTGTGGCACACATTACCTGAGAGACGACACAGCAGGGAGCCAATAAAGATTAGATGATACATTTTAAAATGATAAAAAATAATGAGMGCTAATAAAGAAGAGGATTTTAACTTTAAAGTAAAAATCTCTTCGCTTTCAAGCAGCCAAACTCCTTTTGTGGAATTCACTTCAATTCTGAACATTTTTWACGTTTTTGTTAGATTTTAGCTTTATTTTTGGCTCATTCAGGGGAATGTTAAACCTTGTTAAACCTTTTACCAGACTATTAGACATAAAAAAGACTCCTAAAATCAATAAATGAATTGCGTTATARATAAATAACTCAGCAAAGAACCACATTTGTTTCCGGCACCTGCTCACAAAAACACAACTTGCTCTTATTGTTTTAGCTGAACCTTAAAAAAAAAAGGTTTGACTCATATTTTAGTATTTTAGCACCAACAAGGTGACTCCTAAAGACCTGTGATCAGTAGGTGGAGGATGTACGATGAAGCTTTCAAATCCTCTTTCACTTCATTGCGGCTTTTTCTTCCTGTTTTTTTTTTAAATACTGTTTATTTGCTAAAGTACAACTTTAGACATGACTCTTCCTGTTTTTTTTAAGCAGACAGTAAACTTGTTGCCACAGCCAGGTAAAAGTTACAGAAAATTTGTGAAAAGGCAGAAAAAGTSTAAATAAAAGTCACTTTTAAGGATCACAAGARAGCCTGGCRGCTTAGAAACAAGRCAYAAATATRTTAAAAGKGGTTTAAAACTTTTGCACAGTACTGAATGGACTAGTGTTGATCACAGTTAGCTGACTATAATTATACAATACAATAAATCTATATTATTTTAACTTTTTATAATGTGAAATGAAAAATATATTTTTTACAACTAATTTGCTCATCAGAAATTTACATCAGAAACTCTTTAGATTAAACATAATTAAGTTTTAATGCACAATTAAAACTTTTATTTTGGCATTTTTGTATTTTTTACTTTTTTCTTTTAAACTAAGCATCCTTCACTCAGGATTTTGCAACATTTAACTTTTCCCACAATCATTTGTTCAGAGACTTTTTTAGAATAATAGCTTACAGAAATGAACCATTTTAAACTCATTTCCCCAACTCCATATCTCCACGCTATATTTGATGAAAATGAAAGCCAAACGCGCGCGCCCACAGGCCCACCCCTTCATGATAAGCATCCTGTTTGTGCTGCTGATTGTGGAGCCTCCAGTTTACACGTTCTCCCTGAGCTTGATTACAGTTTGATGGTGGACCAGCGTGCATGTTTAATCACCCACAATCAGAATCAAGCAGAACACCCATCCGCTCTGCCATTACTCTGATTGCCTTTGGCTAAACTCAGGGGTGTGTGTTTCTGTGTGTGCATCAGTGCGAGACTTGTTTCACCTGTTTGCTCTAAAAGGAGAAAGGACTTTTTTTTTAGCTGCACTAAACACGTGGATGAGAAACTGTAGACTCATGCATCACATTTGAGAATGACACAGTACCAGTTTTTGTTTAGATTTCCAGAACCTATGGGAGAAATGTTAGAAGTAAAGTACTTGAAACACAAATGTCTTTGTTTGCTGAGCCATAAATAAGCATTTCYTCTTTTTGTTACACATCATTTCACAGCTAAATATAATGCATGAYAACCTAAATGAACCATGTCTGCTTGCAATTTGCAGACTTTCCAAAGCTCACATTCAAATCAAAACACAGCAACAAGTGATTCCACTGATCAGAAATCCATTTGAGCCCAACTCCCCCCAGATTAAAAGCATTATGTTTTCTTTACTTACCAAAATACATGGCAGCAGCACAGAGGGATCTGATGGTTCAGTGTTTGATGAAAGAGTTTTTCATCTCAGGGCAGAAATGAGGCTTCCCACTCTCTCCTCTGGTCTCTGCTTCTCTCTGCAGCGGAGCTGCCGGCTGCTCCTTCCCATCTGGATTCCCTCCTCCTCCTCTGCCTCCTCCTCCTCCTCCTCCTCTGCCTCCTCCTCCTCCTCTGCCTCCTCCTCTTCCTCTTCATTATGATCATGTCTTCACGATTCGTATACAAACTGCAGCTATCCCCCTCAAATCTGCTTTGAATTCAGATGAAAATGAGTGTGTAGAGTGTCAAGTTGCAGAGTTGCCTCACAGCCAAGCATTCCAAAACACAAATTTAGATTTAATAGAGAAATAAATCAATACAGAAAATATTTTTTTAAATCAAACTCTTTGTTGCTCAGAGTTGGCAGCTTTCTGTCCGAGGCTGCTGTGTTTTGAAAGGAGATGTTTGTTTAGTGGTTTTTTTTTTTCTCTCCTGGAAATGGTTTCCCATCCTCACTACTTTTCCTCTTGGGCTTTTATTATTTTTAGATGCATCCTGTAAGTTTTAGCACAGAGAGGAAACTACACAGGACATAAGCTTGCAAAAAAAATAATAATAAACTTCACAATCTCAACTCTAAAAAATGTAATGTCTGCACATTTGATTTCTGCACACTCAAATGTTTCGCGAGTAATTTATTCTTCTGACAGCATGACCTCACTTAACTTACTGGTCTTCAAACCAAAACACTTYTTTTTCTGTGTGGGGGAAAAAATGAACATGTTTTCCCACAGTCCAAAACTCCAGAGACATCTCAAGAAAGCTGTCAGTTCAACACCTGCTATTTTACAACCTGCTAAATCAGATACACAAGTTCATTTAGTAAAGTAGTACAACACATTATGGGATGTTCATCATCAAACAAAGTACAGCAGGTAAAATAAGTATTGAACACTTCAACATTTTTCTCAGTAAATATATTACTAGAGGTGCTAATGACATGAAATTTTCACCAGATTTTGGTAACAACCCAAGTGATCCATACATACAAAGAAATCAAACCATAAATGTCCAGAAATGAAGTTATTTGTAATAATGTGGAATGGCACAGGGAAAAAGTATTGAACACRCTTACTGAAATTTATCTAATACTTTGTACAAAAGCCTTTGTTGTCAATGACAGCTTCAAGAAGCCTCCTGTATGGAGAAACTAGTGGCATGCATTGCTCAGGTGTGATTTTGGCCCATTCTTCCACACAAACAGTCGTCAAATCTTGAAGGTTTCATGGACCTCTTCTATGAACTCTGATCTTTAGTTCTTTCCATAGATTTTCTGTTGGATTCAGGTCAGGTGATTGGCTGGGCCATTCCAGCAGCTTTAGTTTCTTTCTCTGAAACCAACTGAGAGTTTCCTTGGCTTTGTGTTTGGGCTCATTGTCTTGCTGAAATGTCCAGCCACGTTTCATCTTCATCATCCTGGTAGATGGAAGCAGATTTTTATCAAGAACATCTCTGTACATTTTTCCATTCATCCTTCCTTCAATTATTTGAAGTTTGCCAGTACCATATGCTGAAAAACAGCCCCACACCATGATGTTCCCACCTCCAAACTTCACTGTTGGTATGGTGTTTTGGGCTGATGTGCAGTGCCATTTGACCTCCAAACATGATGTGTATTCTGGCATCCAAACAGTTCAATGTTGGTCTCATCTGACCAGACTATATTCTCCCAGTATTTCACAGGCTTGTTTAAATGTTGTGCAGCAAACTTTAAAGGAGCTTCAACATGCTGTTTCTTCAGCAGTGGAGTCTTGTGTGGTGAGCGTGCATACAGGCCATGGTGGTTCAGTGCATTACTTATTGTTTTCTTTGAAACAATCGTACCTGCTAATTCCAGGTCTTTCTGAAGCTCTCCACAAGTGGTCCTTGGCTCTTGGACAACTCTTCTGATAATTCTTTTCACTTCTCTGTCAGAAATCTTGTGAGGAGCACCTGGTCGTGGTTGGTTTATGGTGAAATAATGTTCTTTCCACTTCTGAATTATGGCCCCAACAGTGCTCACTGGAACCTTCAGAAGTTTAGACATTCTTCTGTAACCGATGCCATCATTATGCTTTGCAACAATAAGGTTGTGAAGGTCTTGAGAGAGCTCTTTACTTTTACCCATCATCAGATGTTTCTTGTGTGATACCTGGCCATCATTTGGGACTGAACCAGCTGATATTAACTTGCACTGACAAGGGGCAGGCTTGCTTTCTAATTACTGAGAGAGTTCAGCTGGTGTCTTGGCTTTCAATGCGTTTTTACACCTCCCTTTCTTCATGTGTTCAATACTTTTTCCCTGTGCCATTCCACATTATTACAAATAACTTCATTTCTGGACATTTATGGTTTGATTTCTTTGTATGTATGGATCACTTGGGTTGTTACCAACATCTGGTGAAAATTTCATGTCATTAGCACCTCTAGTAATATATTTACTGAGAAAAATGTTGAAGTGTTCAATACTTATTTTACCCGCTGTATATGCATATATTAAACATGATATAATACAACATATGTACATGATATTGCAGGAAAAATATGCGTTGTTCAAAATTGAATGTCAGAATAAACTGGAATCCGCTGGATATGGAGTTTTAAGATGTAAATTCAACTCTGGAAGACTAATGACCCTCACCTAGCTCATTCAGCTCCGTCACCGTACACTCAGCCTCATCCAATCAAGATCCAGCAGTCTGGGATAAAAGCATCAACCTCAATTGCTCCAGCTGCTCGCCAGCTGACTGTCAACCTACCAACTCCCCTCCTCCATCCTTCATCTCCTACCTTCCAGGTATCTCCCTCTCCTTCAACCACCACCAGTGTCTGGGCCCCAGGGGGGAAGAAAACTCCTACCCACTAACCTAATCAGCTCGTCAGAGCCTTTAACCTTTCACAGCGCTCACATTCTCGGCTGGGGTTCGAGCGCCAAACCTGTCAATCATGTCAATCTGTTCAGTTATGGCAATAAATACATTCTAATTTCACGTTTTGTGTTCATGTGAGTCTTTCCACGTTGAATTCGTGTTAAAACTTTATTTTCAATCTTCTGACTCCAATCAGGTTCATACAGCACTCAGCAGCACAGGCCTCAGTAAGACCTTGGACTGAACCAAAACAAAACACAGGAGCTCTGCTCTAAGCAGACTCTGCAACACTGACAACTTCTTTACTCTTATAATAATGAATTGACCTTACAATGTACATCTCTTCCTGGTTACATCCCTGGAGGTGTTGTTACCTTTTACGTCAGAACATCACTCATTTTGTTTAGACTAAAGAAAGAACACATGATAAGACACACACCAACTCTTTGTCTACTTTAACTTTACAGGCTGAAATGCTCTGAAAGTATAAAATACAAAACTGCATCTATCATTCAGTTAATCAGTTACAAAATTTCCTTCAATATGATACTGATTATGATGAATGATATATAATTTGATATGATTTGAAGAAATATGGTATATAATGTTAATGTCTCTTTTTTTTTACTCCCTTGTGAGGAGGTGGCCACACCAAGCAAACCTACATAAAAGATTCGGGATTTGTTTTGTGACAGATCCCCCTCCTGACACAAGCTGGACTTGAAACTGTAACATTAAGATCATAAGACCACAGCACTGACCACTGAGCTTCAGCCACCATGATATGAAACATTATATGAGATAAATATGTTATATACTGTTTATACGTATATATGTATGGTAATGTATAATACAGCATAATAGGATATATAAAATACAATGTATGACATGATATAAAATACATGATATAATAAGATATACCGATATGATACGACATGATACGATACGATTGTAAGGGGATGAGGTGAGATTGGACCCAAAAGTCACAGTCACGAGTCACGAGGAGTCACGAGGAGTCTAAATTAAAAGTCTTCATTAAAGAAAAATGCCAACGTGGATGCAGAAAAAACAACTAATAAGGACAACACAGGAGGAGAGCCAGGGCAAACCATATGATGAATGGACGAGGAAGTGGTGAAGAATGGCTGGTTAAATAGAGCAGAGTTGAGTGGAAAGTGGAAACAGCTGGGTGATGACTAAGTACAGATAGGTGTGATGATAGAGAGTAATCAGGAAAAGACATGCAGAAACACAACAGAACACAAGACACAGATCCTCACAACGTGATGCGATACGATGCGATACGATGCGATACGATACGATACGATACGATACGATGCGATACGATACGATACGATACGATACGATACGATACGATACGATACGATACGTTACGTTACGATACGATACGGTACGGTACGGTAC